ATGATAATTTTTGCCGTTTTTAAAACAAAAAAGAAAACCAGAACAAAATATTTAAATAAATCTTGCAACACAATAGTTGCATTTTCCAATACTGAAAAGAAACCCAATCTCTGCTTCCTCTGCCCAAATTTTAAGAAGACTCACCAATATCTACTTCACTTAAATCTTAGTTGTGCCTTATCATGTATCTAGGCAAAAGACATGGATGCAATTCACCAGTTCCTCAAGTATATGTAGGATTTGTTTTAAATCCTTGTTTTAATAGATGTTTTGCTAGCCAAGTACTGCCTCCATAGGTAATTCTTGCATGTAAAAGTGATACAAAGAGCTCCAGGTTGTCCTCAGGATTATTCCTAGTTATATATGGTCATAATGGAACAAAACCAGCCCCAATCAGACAGCAAAAATGAAACTAAAAATTAAGTGCGCGCAAAAATCCACCCCCCCACGCCACTCTCCTGAAGAATAATAGGAAGTAACTTCATGGTGGCAATTATGCCTTATCTTTCTACAAGGATCATCCATGATCTGTTTATTTTACCCTCTTCTTTTGTTCATATTTTCCACTTGTGCTCATATGATTTCAAACCTTCTGCACTAGGTGCCAGCTCTGGTAGAACATACTCAAACCAGAATCAGAAACAGTATAAAAAAGGAAGAAACAGGGACAAAACTGGAGAAGAGAAAAGATAAAAACAAGTCCAGTTAAGGCTGTCCCTGGAAAGGTACTGGAAATTTCATTTTTTACATTTGAGCTAAAAATAATTAAGTCCCTTCCCCTAACAAATCAGAACATGAATATTTTCTTCGATTTTATCATCTCTCATTTTATTTTTACAAGTATTGCCACTAATAAATAAACCATTTACATTACGCAGACTGACCCCATTTCAAAATAAAAAAAGACCATTAGTAAATGTCCCCTCATTTACAGTTTGATCCATGTTTATAAAACAAACATCATTCTCCCCATGGGGAGGGAATCAGATTCGTCCCCAAGCAAGCTGTTATCTGACAAATGAAGTATGAAAATACCATCATGTCCTATTGTGACACTTGGCATTGAAAGAACTGGGGGGAAAAATGGCTACAAATCTGTATTCCTGAACACCAAAACAACCTTGCATGGCAGCAGTTAGGACAGCCTAGACAGGATGTGCATGCACTCCTGAAATTATGCTATGTTTAAAGCAAGTGATCTGAAACAAAACAAGAAAAATGAAGCAAACAACGGAAATAAAGTACAGAAAAGACAAACTGCAAACACCTACAGTAGAAGGCTCTATGTAGTAGAAGAAAACATGTTTCCATTTCTTCAGCTGAGTATCTATGTTAACAATTCAGCATCAAATGAAACACAAAGCCTTTCCTATTTTCCTTTATGCAGGGTT